TTAGTTTATCTTGGCAAAAGGTTCTTCCCCCACCTTTCCTGCTACAGCCTGTACAGTCAGGTTGCCACAACCCTGTGTTTCATCCTTTTGGAAGATCTGTGGCCATCGGAGTCATCTCCCTGGCCACCAGCTAGGAGCCCGAGAGAAACAGCAAGACAAGGATCATTAATCCTGTCAGATCCTCAGGGCTCTGCTCTGCATGACAATGGAAATTTCTAGGGTCACCAAGCTAGAAAGCTGATTCACACCTATTTTGTAAGGGAATGAGGCCCATCCTACGAATGAGCCCGAATGAGCCCGATGAAGAGGCAGAATTAACTCCACATTTTTTGGAATGTGCCCTGGAGTGATGCATCTTAAATATCCATCAATGAGTCATCGCAGGAAGCCTTAACCAAAGCGGCCCAATTCCTTACTCAAATCAAGCTTGCAGATTCGTTCTGGGTGCAAAAAGATCCTCTTCTCTCTGAAACGGCTTTGGATGTCCACACGCTTCTCCTCCAGCAAGCTTTTTGGCAATGATTAAAACCTTTTTAAGCCAACTCCTTATGGTGTCCATTACTTGAGTGAAGCCCAGGAACAGTAAAAGACCTCTCCTTTGGGCGTTTTCTCCATTTTCCTTCGGAGTTTACTATTTGACGACTACTGTGAAACCCACCCAATTTTCAGATAAAATCAAACAAAGGCTATTTACTTTAAATGGTGTTATTATATAATGTGAGCTCCTGTGTTTCCTGACTTGGGATGCCCCTCCTCCCACCACAGGTCTGGCTGGGGGCCCACTGAACTAAACAGATGTCAGCAGCTGGAAAGGAAGGATTTGTTCCAAACCCAAAGCAACATCCAGGGCTTTGTGATTAGGGCATGCTAACATGGCTGGATCCCAGCGCTCGGTTCCTCTTCCGATTTGCCGCTCCCGAGAGCAATTACAGACTGTCTCCGGCGCATGACCTGATGTCTGGCTGTGCCTTGCGCCGGGCTTTCCACTCCACCGCCTTCCTTGCTAGGGGCTGGTTGGTACTTCTATTAATTCATGACTTCTCCAGGGCCACAAGATCTGACAATGTGAGAAAATGGAGGAAGGTTGCTGAAGCTCTTTTAGATAGGTTTCTGTTCAGGAAGCTCAGCAGGGCCCTTGTGGCAGGGAAGGAGAGGAATGCATTCTTCATTTTCACTGTGCCCCCTCTGCAACTTTCCGAAAACTACAACTGAGGGGAAGGTAATTCTCTGAAATTCAAGTCCTGCCTGGTCTTGCCATCAGGCACCTAAGGAGTCATAAAATCCTTTCAGTGCCCAGTAAGACTGGGTTTGGCTTTGTTGTTTTGCAACTCACGCAGGAATCGGGCAAAATGCCGTGGCTGGCCAGCCCTCCTCCAGTCAAGAATTTTTTTCGATCTCCGTGTGCATGGCTGGAAGGGAAAGCTGGACCCATAGGCGGTGCGGGACCTCAGTGGCGCTGGAGGGGCTGTTCAGGGTGTCTGTGCTGAATGGAGACCCTGCCTCTGTCTTGCAGGCCGGAGTTCTCCCTCCACGTGGAAAGCAATGCAGTGGTGGTGGGTTTCTGAAATGCAACTGCTGCTCTGTAGGTGAGAGTGCCGAACTGTCTCCCCGAGTTTCAAATGCAAGGCACACCTTTTGCAGTGGAAAAGTGGGAGGTGTGGAGAGGGTTTTGATGGCCAGGAGCACCTGAGTCCAGTTGTCCTTCTGATGGTTTTTCTGAGTGTTTTAGGTTTTGTTTCTGTCCATGAAAGTCTCGGGTTCAAAGCCTTGATCCTTCCAGTCTTCAGTCTGATCCTTCAGGAAAGGAAATTCGTGTTTCCAGAGGGCTCTCCCACATCCACTGGGGCTTTGGCCATTCTCTAGTCTATTGCACAGTCCTTCATCAGCTTCTGCAGCCCCAGCCCATGGAAAAAAACCTGGGTTGCTTTTCCTGCTGATCTCAAACATGGGGCTTCTCTGGCCAGCATGGCCCCGTGAAACCAGTGGTACCACGGACTTGAGGCATGTTGTGTTTTGCAGTACAAGTTTCAATCACTTGGGGGTGACATGGCCAGGACTCTCTCTGGATTCAGCAGGGGGTAAAGCAAGCTTTGAAGGAACAATTGGGAGGAGAAAAGTCCCTCGAAAGGCAACCTTGTAGAAAATGCAGAGGGTCCCGGCTTTTCTTCCTCTTAATGCCTTCTTAATTCTGGATTTCAGCCAGATGCAATTTCATTTCCTACGCTGTTTTTGGACAGGATAACAGATCGCTTAGCTTTTGGGGTCACTCAGCCCAAACTGACTTGTTCCAACAACAAGGTTAAGCACACAAAGCGTGAACTATTGAAAAGGAGTTTGGAGAACACGTCAATGCCCATAGCATCTTTCACTTTTTGGAGCAGAATTCTCCTCCCAACCTTCTCATAAAAGCCATTTCTCTAGAAATTATGAGTTAAGATAGAAATTGAATAAGGAAGTGCGACTGGAAGGTTCCCTCAGAGTAAACTTGAGAGTTGTTTTGCAGACATAATCCTCTATTTATGATACGGCAGCGGTTTGGGGGCTTTAGCACATTGCGGGTAGAATTTCTGTTTTATTACCATTGCTTTTTATTGCTTTTAATCATGTTTTGTATTTTTGCGGAGGTTGCGGTACCAGGAGAAGGAGGCCTAAAGTTAGATGTAATTAATTAACAAAACAAAACACATTAGGCAGGAGCTGTTGCTTGCCTCCTAAGTGAAGAACTACAGTATGTTTAAAAAATAAAAAGGTATAAAGCTGGGTTTTTTCCACTCCTGACAGAAGTCCACAGCCTGCCTCTTTTCCCTCCCCAGCTGATTTCTTCTAGAAATTAATCCATATTTAGTAATAGAACAAAGCTAAGTTGCTCCTGGCTAGCGTAGGAAATTGCCAAATGCCTGCATGTGTTTTTATACTTGTGTTTAAGGGATTCTTCCTCTCCTTTTGGAGGCCTGTCTGCGCTGAAGGGCAGCCATCTTGGGAACTGTGAAGGCAGCTGCGCTCCATTTCTTGTCTGAGAAATTTCCTCTTTTTTAATTCCTGTTTTCCTCTGAAGTGCATGCCTGCTTGAGAGACAAACTGGGGAGCAAAGCTGGATAAAGCTTTGTGACTGGAGATTACCCTTTCCTCAGGATCCATCTTGGAGCCGTTCTTGAATGAAGGGAAGTTAGGCTGCTCTAAGAAATAGCTTTCTTTGACGAAGGCTCTCCCCCACAATTTTCACCCCAAGGTGCCCTAAGCTGAGGGAAATTGCTCCAGAAATGTTCATTTTAATTCAGTGCAAAGCGAGGGCAACTTGCTGAAGAAATCCTAGAGCCCCGAGGAAAGGGTTGCTCATCCTTCTCAAAATGGCTTCCCTCACGCCACAAGAAGGCGCACGAGCGAGGGCAAACGGCAGGCCAGCCATTGGCGGGGAAACACGCATTCCCTTTTAGGGATAAAGAGAGCACTAAGCAAAGTATTTTTTTTCTGGCAGGAGCCCAAGCAATGTCTGCCTTTGTGGCGGTTCCTGAGGGCCTTCTAAATATTTCCCTAAAAATAAAGAGAAGCTAAAAATATGGCCTCCAAGGCAGAAACATTTGGGTCAGGGGGAAAATATATCTATTAACTGCATTGGGACTGCAGACCCCTTGGACTTCCCTCAGAAACCAAGGGGCCTTGTCAGCAAGCGCCATCTTGGAAAAAATAGCGTTGTTGTCCTCTGCTTGCGCTTTCCTGAGAAACTGACCTTTTGTATAAATAGAGCCCCCTTTTTCTGACCAAAGGCCGCTCAGCTTTGCATCGGTGAGGGAGAAACCCTAAGTGGCCATAAGTAAGTTGCCCTCAAGGCTTGTCCCCTCAGGAGCCATGTTGAACTGCTGGGATAAGGAGCAAAGCCTGGAAGAAAGCTGAATCCAGTTACCCCTTTTATCCCTTTTCCCCCCCCTTCTACTGAGGAAAACGACCTCCCCTCGGTGTTTGGGGCCTTCAGTGCGCTCTGACTGGAGGGCTGGGGCTTCCCTCAGGAGCCATCTTGCTCAGCCAGCAGGAGCCATCTTGGGACATCTCCAAGGGCCCAGATTCCTGGTCTGCCTGAGGAAAAAAGCACCCAGGCCAGGCCTTTCTGGGTGGAAATTCGCTTTTCCTCCAGATCTGCCTTGCCAGCGCTCCAAGGAAACAAAACCAAACTTAAGACCCCAGATCGGCAGGCGACGCAGCGTCTTGGAGAAGGGCTGTGCCTCAGAAGAAGGCCTGTCCTTTTGTAAAGCAGGAGGAGGAAAAAGAAAACCGCTTTTTCCCTGCTAAGAAACGCACAGGCTCCCTCCTGTCCTCCTGTAAAAATGCTTTCCCGGCCTGTCAGGCCTCCACAGCTGATCCCCGCAGCCATCAGCCATATCCAGCCCTTCCTGCTCTCGCATTCAGCTCACATGCGGCTAAAAGCCCGGCCATTTGTGTATTTAAAGGCACTTGCCCCCGTTTTTCGGGCTACCCTATGCTTGGCATAACTTACCTTCAGAACAAAGCAATCCTTGGCCTGCAGAGTTACAAGGGACCAGTCATAGCACAAAAGGAAAAAGGGGCGGGGAGGGAAGAAGGAAAACCAAGGCTAGCCAGGCTTCAGTTCTTAAAGGGACAGACCGGGATTTAGCCTTTGCAAAGGCAGTGCGGCACGCTTGACCTTGGCAGCTAGGGAGGATGGGGCTGGGGCCCAAGCGCTCTGGAGGGTGGGCAGCTTGTGGGAAAGCTGCCCTAGATCGCCCGGTAATTAAACCCCCCTCCCCGTGCTGCGGCGTGGGATTCAACGGCGGGCAAGCCTTCGGCCCCCAGACGGCCAAAGGCAGCTGGCATGGATCAGGCATTTCAGAAAATGTGCCGATATTGCGAATCTCTCTCTCGTTCCAAGCAAATCTAGGCCACAAATCCTCTTGCAACCCCCTTATGGACTAGTGGATTTAATCTGGGGAGATTGCTGAGGCAAGGGGGGGGCAACCTGGGTGGGAGCGCCGGGCGCAGGAGCCGTGGTGTGTTGCAACGCATGGATGGACTCCGTGGGTCTGCGCCCTCCGAGCTTCTCATCCCACCTGCTCGGCTGGGCCGGCCCCAAGCGCCCTCCCTCTGCCATGCCACACAGTCTCTCCTGCGGGCTCAGGGGCCTGCGAGGGCGCGAGCGCCGCCCATGCCAACTTGTTTTCTCCCGCCGTTATCTGCCGCAGCCCTTGTTTTCCTGCTCCAGCTGCCCGGCAGGCCTGAGAAATGGGCAGAAGGCCAGTGGAGGCCATTGTTGGGGGCCCAGGAAGGGCGAGGAAAGGAGGGCAAGCCCCCAAAAGAGGCAGGCATGGGGCGTGGAAAGGGCGCGCGAGGGCAGAGGGCTCCCGGGCCTCCCCCCTGCCCTCGGGAGCAGGGTACAGGGTCCGGAGGGCAGGGCAGGGCAGGCCCCCTCCCCGGGCAGTCGGCTGGGTGCACGGCTGCCCAGCTCCTGCGTGCCCGGAGGAGACGCGGCCCAGGGGCAGAGG